AGCTGATGAGTTAATTGGCAGCATAGTAACAGATCATTAGTCTTTGTATGCAGAAGTTACCGTCAGAGAATGAGACACAGTGGGCCACAGAATTTTGTCAGGTCATGTGTGGGTTTTCTTGATGAATTCTAATATGTTCTGCAATCTTTGTCATCTTAAATTTGTGGCTGGTTTTACCTCTATCTCCTGACCCCTTTCTGCTTTTCCTTATGTCCTTCCCAGGCTTTAGCTCCTGGTCCCCTTCCAGCTTTTCCTAGCTCTCTCTCTGCATGTATGCCTGATCCCTCCACTCTGGTACACTGTCTAGCCATTTTTAACTCTCATGAGCTTTGCTTCCACAGTCATGAGCTGAATCACATTCACTTTAGCCTAGAGCACATTTAGTCCAGACAGAACATCTAAGACTTGTTTATCAACCCCTACTGAGCACATATGAATGTTTTTCAGACTCTTGCAACTTGGCTCTGTTTACATGGTACCTGGCAATTTGGTAATTTTACAGTGATTTCTTCCTCTGTCATTGTCAGAAGAGGTTTGGGTATGTTTTAGCCACGCAGTCATCATGGACACTCTCCATTTTAATGGTTAAATGATGAAAAATATACAAGCAACTGAAAACAAAGGTTGAATTGGAACTTGTTAAGCAGCACTCACTGTAGGCATATTTTGTCTGCTGTAGCTTTGGCTGAAATGCCTACAGAGAATGGCAGCAATGCATACTCACTGATAACGTTTCCATCCCATACAAACCTTTCCCATTAATAATGGAAAGCTCCCAGTCAGAGAGAAGTTAATTTTAACTGAAGCGCTCCCATCTTTTCTGCCTCTAGGATACACGTTCACACCTCTACACACCTGAAGCAATCACCTTAAAGATTGTCTAATTTAATATGATTAGGAGATTGCTACACTGTATAAGATTCATGAAACCGAGTATAGGTAACATGCTCCAGCTATGACACACACCCTTCTCCCTTTTAAACTTATTACAGAGAAGGCTCAAGATCCCCTGGTGAGCTTCTTATCTCCAGTAATTAAGAACATCCTAATGGGCACGGTAAGTGCCCTTCAGTGCATGTTGGGATGGACATATAACATCACAGCCTCTTTCTGCCTTACACGAAGTAGCTCTGTGATTTCAGACAGTGCTCTCAGACATGCCTTGCACAGGGGAAAGGCTCAGTTGTGACTCAGAACAACTTCCTATTAAAATATTTAACAGAGAAGCACTAGCTTACTGTGGACATCGGCAAAATACTAATCACCGTAATCATCGCTGGCACATTTTTGCATACAGGAAAAGGAAATGAAGAAGGAAAGAAAATTATATCAGCTATAGATAGATGAGTAAAAAAAATACTTTTATTTCAGTATCTTACAGTAAAGTTGGTCATAAAGTGGCCACGCTGCAGAGCATTTAGAGTCTGATCTCAGAAGAAATTTGAGCGAAGAAAGCAAAAATGGTGAGGTGGCCAGGGACAGAATTTCAGAGGCAAATATAATAATCTATGTGGCTTCTACAGACACAATATAGGCAGCACCTCACGAAATGGAAAGTGCAAGATAGCAACATGGATAGGGTTCACATATGAGACAGTTTGCATACAAATGTATATGTGCAAAACTATGATCATGGAGTATTTAATGCAAAACTTGCGTATGTTTAAAAATTTATTCATGACTTTGGAGGGTTCTTTTGAAATTGGGCCTTTTATGTTCACATGCTCTTTTCTTAAAGATTGATCCACACTCTTGAATCAATGGAATTCTTTCCCTGTGAAAATTGTCAACTAGGAATGTAGCTATTTTTCTCCTTATATGAATAGGGGGAGAATGATCAGTACTGGCTTAAAGCTTCTCAATATCTAAAGAACAGTGTTTCCTTGGAATTATTGGGAGAGCAAAATTCAGTAGTGTGGTAGTGGCTTCAAAACAGTTACCTCAGACTCCACCTGTCCTGGGTGGCTCATGGGTTTCACTACTGACCACACTCCTGACCCTACTACCTCTCTGTGTGGTCCTGCTGGGCCTCTGCCTTTACTCCCCTCCCCTGCTCATACTTTTGGAAAGAGAACCCCAGTCTGACAGGATGAGAAGTGAGAGGGGACTCGATCTTATTTTATGGGGGAGGGCTTAGGTGAAAGGAGAGAGCCATCCCTGCTGCAGATCTCCCATGCTCAGTAAGGACACGGTGTTCCTGCCTCTGACCGGCTGATCTTTGTCTGCCCAAGACAGACTCAGCTCTTGACTTCTGTACACTAAGACCTGGGCTATATACATGTAGTGTACATACCAGCAAGCCTCTGTGCCCCTGCATTCATGGTTAAGATCTCAAACTGCTCTTGAAGTGTTTGGAAGAAACTCTCTACGCTCCTCTTTCCCACTTCTGTGTAGAATGGGTAGATGAACTCCCTTTGTATAGAAGAGAAAAGAGGAGAATACAGGTGACATAGCAGGACATCTCAGGCTTTGTACACTATGATGAATGGCTGACAGGTTATGCACACTAAAAACTCCTTTGCTGTATGTACTGAGGTGTGTTTCTGTGCTGTCAATATGTGGAACATTTGATTTGGGTTTTTTTCATTTAATAGCAGGGAAATTTGCTTTTTCTTCCCTGTCCTTTCCCAGCGTCTTAACCACGGCTTGATGGAGAAACTCTCTGCAGTGTGTTGAAGAGTTTCCAGCTGGCCAAACCAGAGCAGAGTTCTTACCTTTGCAACTTGTTTACACTTTATACCCTATACACAGGAGAAAAAGCTGCATCCTTGCATGTCTATGGGATGCATTTTCTTCTTCTTTGGAGCTCTAGCATGTGATCACCTTCACTGCAGACTAGAAACATTATTCATTCACTGCATTCTCTGCCAACACCAATGCTGGGACAAAAGGAAGTTAAAAGTGGACATTTCAATGAGATGTTTCAGTTCAGTATCTAGTCACTTTGAATTTTGCTATCCTGACATTAGCAATACATTGTTGCATGGATGTTTACATAATAATGTCTACAGTTTCCTTTTGGAAGAAAATGGCATACATCCTGCTCCTTCCTCATTTAAGGTCACCAAATTAGTTACTAGAAAGAGCTATTCACATCTGGCATCAAAAGCAAATAATGTATTAAAAATAATATAAAAAAAAAAACACAACACAACCCAGCTCCACCTCTCCAGTAGTCTTCTGGAGATAAGGCTGGTTTGGGGAGATAACAGAGATAGGAGAGGGGAGACACAGCATGCAGGGTTATTCTGGACAGACTCTGATCAGAGTTCACTGCTCCTATACTCAGAAATTTTGCATTACGTTTTTCAGAAGGGAATTTAAATTCCAATGAGGTATCTGTTTAAAAGATGCAAAATCCTATCAGATGTGAAAGTGAAACTGAGCTGTTTGGCCACATGTCTGTACTGAAGGCGATAACCCTGTCACTGATCTCAGTACTTCAGGAACAGCTATCGGCATTGAGCACAGTGCAGGCCAATCATCTGAATGTTTGTTCAGCTTCTTGAATGGTTTTTTTTCCATTGTTAGTCTGCTCCTGATACCTGAGATAATGGTTTTACAGCAGCGCTTCCCCCAGCAGAGAAGGGCTTATCCTGTTTTATGACCCAGTGACAAACTTTATTGACTCATGTACTGCCAACAGCAGCATTTGAGCACTGGAACCACATCTGGGGACACCATAAATGGCAAGAGTCTTCTTGGTCCTGTTCCATCCCAGGAACAGGTGCTAGAAGTGTTTCTTTCTCTGTCATTACCAGCCCTTACAGACCAGTAGTGCTCTCTATTGTTCACCTACTTCCTCCCTGAAATGTGACCCTACAGTCTTCAGCCACCTATTTCCTTCTTCATCAGCGGGAAGGTGCTTTCCTTAGGACTCAGTAAAGCATCCAGCCAGAGCTGTGTCCCTAAACCCAAAGGGGTAATTGCCTCCTTGCATGTGGGAATGGTTGGGGAACCCACTGCTACAACCTCAGCCAAACCTGCAGAAAAACCTTTCCTAAACTTCTCTGCTGGTGGCTCTGCTTGCAGGTTTCTTCCTACTTTTGCTCCTCTAGGCAATCCTTTGGTATAATAAACATCAATGATAATTTATTCTGAACATTACAACCTAGCTGGTAACATTATGGTAAAAAAGCTGTACCCATGGTTTGGATTTGTGAGTTCCCAGTACTTCCCTCCCACAGAGGTGCATGTTTGTGAAAACTGGCATCATCTGGCAGGAGCCAGGCCCCAAACACCCTCTGAGGGACAGCCCCTGTTGTGAATTTAACCAGATCTCAGGTCTTTGTAGCTGTGGGGTTTGAGTTCTGTGCTGAGAACAAGGTGGAGGGGTTGGTGGTGGGTAAGATACTGGGTACAGGAATGGGGAAAACCCTGTGCCCAGGAGCCAGGCCTTTGCCTAGGGGCCTGTGTGCTGCCAGGGGTCTGGCTGCGTGGGGAGGTCGTTCTAGAGCCGGGGGTCTGCAGGTACCCCGGCTGCAGGGAGGCCCTGTTGACAGCGTGTGGCCAGCGGTGCAGGGGGAGGCCGAGGCAACCCGAGGAGCCCATCAGTGCTGGGGCCTGGGCCTCCATGACAAGGGGGGACGGGGCACTCAGCAGGGCTGGGAGCCTTTGGAAAGCTGGGGCCCTGCTGTAAAAACCAGCCGGGTTCTCCTCGCTGCCCAGCCTCCATGTCGGGCGCGCATAAAGAACCGTGTCATGCTTCAGCGGGGAAGGCAGGGCCGGGAGGGACTGCAGCCGCTCTCTGCTCTCCTATTTTCATAGAAACCGATCTGTGTACCTAGAAAATAACAGGAAGGGAAAGCGCGGGGGGGGGGGGGGGGGGGAGGAGGAGCGGGCGGGGGATAAGAAGATCCTGTTTTCGGTCGCTGCCCGAGGAGTAATTCGGAGGAGACGGCTCCATCTTCCCGGGGCCGCGGCGGCTGCGGCGGGGATGGAGCGGGCGGCGCGGGCGGCGTAGCCAGCTCGCACGGGGGGGCCGCGGGCAGCGCCGCGCCCGCCCGCCGCCGCGGGGTGAGGGCACCCCGGCCGCCCCCGCCCGGCCAGGCCCCCGCCGCCAGCCGGCTCCCTGGTACCGGGGGCTGCTGGGGTTGTGTCCAAGGCCTCCCCCTCCCCCGCGTACACACTCACACACACAGGCACACGCACACACTCACACTCACACACACACACACACACACACCCCATCTCCTCCTGCCGCCGCCGCCGGAGAGATCGGGGATTGCCCGCGGCCCGGCCCCGCTCCCGGCTGCGCCCCGTGCACGGGCGCATCGCACCCCACGGGGGCTCGCCCGGCTGCCCCCGGGGCGGCGTGTGCGGGGCGGGGGGTGCGGGAGGGCGGGGGGACACACGGCGGCTCCCGCGGCGGCTCCCGATGGCTCGTCCGCGGCCCCGAGAATACAAGGCTGGAGACCTGGTGTTCGCCAAAATGAAGGGGTACCCGCACTGGCCGGCCCGGGTGAGTACCGCGGCGGGGGGCGCCCGGCCCCGGCCCCGCGCCGCCGCCCCCCTCACTCTCCTGCCGGGCGGGCAGCGGCCGGGCCGCGGCCAGCCTCCGCCGGAGGCCCCGGGCCCGTTCCCGCCGGCCGGGGGGCCGCGGTGCGCGCCCACCCCGCTATTATTGTGCATCTTTTCTTTGATCTGCGGATTTCTCCCCGGCCCCCCGGGAGGAGGAGGAGAAGGAGGAGGAAGAGGAGGGAGGGGGGCGAGCGCGGGCTGTACCTGGGTTGTTATCGCGGGGAGGAGGCTTGGGGAGCCGGCAGCCCTGCCCGCATGACAACGATGCTGTTTATTATACGCCCTCCCTCGCCCCGGCCCCCCCGAGGGGCAGCGGGGTCCCCACCTCCCCCCGCGGCCGGCGCTGGGGCAGGGCAGGGCGGCCGCCTCCCGCGGGCCCACCGCGGCCCGGGGCAGGGGACGAGGGTTTGGGCCCGGCCTGGGCGCCCGTGTGGGGACAGGGCAGGGCCTGGGGCAGGGCCAGAGCGGACATGTGGGGAAAGGGCCGAGGCTCCGGCGCGGGCTGCGGCTGTCCCCGCGGTGGCGGACAAGGGGAGCCGGGCATGGCTTGGTGCGGAGAGGTTGGGTGAGGTGAAGCGGGGCCTGTCTCGGAGCTGCGGCGGGGTCCGTGCGGGGTGCTGCATCCCTGCGGCTCGGCTGCCACACCGCTGCACGCAGGCTTTTGGGTGCTGGGCCTCCCCCTTCATTTCGTCTTTTACTGTGTTGACTTTCTTTAATAGTCCTTTGTCATTTTTTGTTTCACGCTGCCATGATATAACTGAGGTGGAAAGGCATCGTGGGCATTTGGCAGGCAGATAAGCACCCCATTGTATTTAAACATCCATTTGTAGTGCTGCTACAATAACGCAGAGCAGAGCTTTCTCCGGGGGGTCTGGTACACTTCCGCGGCCTGTCCCTTCCCTCCTTTTTGGTCACTGTTGTGTAAACTCGGTGTGTAACACGTGTTTGTGTGAACTTGTTGGCTGGCATCAACCAGCGACAGTCTGTACTTACCTGGCTCCTCCAGCCTTACTGGGACGGTTGGGTAAGGCTTCATGCCAACATGTTCTAGTCAAGGAAAGTTGCTGGTCTTTATAAAGAGCATGAAGATAATGAAGAGTTGTATGCGGCATGCAGGAAAACAGAGGGGCAGGGAGAAGAAGGACTGACATTTAGCATTACCCTTGCCAAGAGAGCTCTGGAAAAGGATGGGTGTGCGTGGTGGGAAGATGTCCTGAGTGTAACTCAGGAAGCAGAAGTGGTGTTGAACAGCAGACACTGAACAAGGAGGGAGGGCCACAGGCTTAAGTAAAGGATGGTGAAGAAAGAATAGTGAGAGGGTGCTAAATATCTAGAAGCATGTAAATAAGGTGGCGCATGCAATTATTTTGGCAGAGCAGGCTAAAATTAGCATGCAAAAGGCCGAACTTAATCAACGCTGGGTTGCAGTTTTGTTATTCTATCATTATACAGGGTGGTGGATATACTACCTAAAAAATGGCGATTTATGTCAGCAGAACAGCATGAGCCACTGAAAACTGACTTCTTTCCTACCTCTGTTATGGTTTAATTTACTGTGAAAATTTTAATGTGAACAGTTGCGACCATTACCACGTTGAAGCATGTTTATCCCTTTCCTTTTTGAGCCTTTGTAAAATTACAGTTTGTTTACCCAGAAGCAGAACAGGACCTTTTGTTTTAATGGCATTTTCTTTCTGTTAAAAAAATTGTTATATGCTGTACAGCTGGTCATAGCCTTTGACTGGGTGTCTAAATATGTGTGTGAATGGCACTAATACCCAACAGAATGCATCTTCACTAGGAAAAAGTAGGTGTGCTATTAACATAACTTACTTCCTTTCTGCAAGTAACAGGATGTAAAGTTAAGTAAAGACAAAGCAGTCTCTAGTTTTGACATGACTTAGCAAACAGGGGTAGAAACTGTAGAGAGCCCAGAGTCTCCCATCCGGTAGGAAGAGAGCAGTCAAGCCAGGGAAGCATTTGTACTGGGGTTTAGTTCATCTGAGTGTCAGGAGGCACAGAATGTACTCCTGTAACACATGATACAGTTACATACAACACGTTAGATCAAACTGATGTCTGCCTGAGCATAATGCATTGCTTGTGAAAAATAGAGTTGATACCATCTTTACTAGGACTTTTCCGCATCCTGGTTGACAAGTTTTGCCTGATGCATGCTTTCTTAAGAGAAGGCAAAACTTAGTGAGGACGCTAGTCTTTATTTTGTTTCCCAAAACTAGAAGACAAGCACGTTTTGAACTGAGAATGCAACTCCGATACCCTTATTAACTGAATGCCTTTTATTTAAGGGATTCACTTGTTTCCAGGTCTTTCAGTGTTTGCTGCCTACTTCTTTATTCATTATGCAATTAGCATGTTTGATCTTTAAATTCTCATGTAAAAACTTATTTCATGCTAATATACTAACTAATAATATGAGTAACAGTACCCTTTAATGACAGTGTTATTGTTCCTACCAAATGGTGGTTTGCAACTCTGAGACCTTTGGCATGAATTTCCTGCCTAGGGACAAACTTCTTAAACTGTGTTTAATAAACCTGGGAAGTGTTAAAGCAGGACAGGAAGACTGAAAGACTCTGCCTGCCCTTTAATGAAACACACAGCATACGTTTTTGTGTGCATGGGCAGTGTCATGCAGAACAAGTAACTCCATCCAGCTGTGGTAGTGCAGATCTGCACCTTGCTCAATTACTCTTGTCCCTCATTAGGTGTAATGCTTGCGGGCTCAGCCACCTCCATGTGGCACAACACTGCAGACTTATCCAGTGTATGCAGCAATCTCTAGTGCTAGACCATTAGCCTTCCACCCCTCTCTTTGGAGGTGTGTTGATCTGCAAGAACAAGACCAGCAAACCTTTCACCTCTGTGAGTAAAGAGAGAGAAACCATAACGAAGGTGGCTGGATAGTGCTGAAATACCCAGGGACCACTGAAAAACTTTGTCTAATGTGTTAAAGTAGTCAAACTGCATTGGAACTTTCTTTGTGGATTGGTCTAGAATTAATCTGAAAGGAGCCACACTTAGCCAAATGGTAATGGCCAGTAAATCTTGTCTTTACATACTCTCTTAAAATAAAATGTTTGAATAAAACGAACTCTCTTCAAAGATGCTTTAGATACTTGGGGCCTGAAAAATGTCACTTAGGTCCTACTACCTGTAAAGGCTGCTTTACATTTTGGTATTGTGTTTTGTTTTGGCAAAGCAAAATTTCTTTTGGCCTAAGTGGAGGACAGTGAATAGATTGAGGGTTTAAACCCCAGTTATTGTATTGAAGCTTAATAATAACAGTAGATAAAATACTGGCAGCAATTTGGTCTAACACATTTTTGCGTTAGCCTCTGATGTCAGTTGCCTTCAGATACTCATCAAAAATGCAGAATAAACACCAACTGGCCAGGTCATCAGTCCCTGTAATCCAGCAGAGAAGCAATTGTGCATCCGGGGTGCACAATTTTTGCACGCAGAAATAAAGGGAAGATGCTGCTGTGCTTCAGATATAGGAAATAAGGATGCAATTCGTTCTACATTTCAGGAGTGGTCTTTGCCTTTGAAGCGCAAGATCCCCCTGTCTTAGTTTCATGTTCATAAAAGACAGTTAACAACACTTTTCCCTTTAAAAAGGTGTCGTGGAGACAAAATCACTAACATTTATGAGTTGCTTGGCTACTGCAATGATAGAAGCTGTATTAGCACACAGAGAAAAATCTCTTTCTTCAGATACCCTAGTTTATCTAGGATAGATGTCCTGGTTTGTTGAGAAATTGCCTCTTGAATAGTCACTCAGACAAGATAAAAGGGAAAAACTAGTGGTAGATTCAGAAAGATCAATAATGGTGTTTGTTTTATGAGTGACCCTGAAGAAACAATAAGCACATAGTTGCTGAAATTAGCTGGTGATTTAAAAATAGGAAGGAAGCTGTTAATGCAACTATAGAGTGCAGAGGAAAAAGTCTGGAATGACCTCAATAAAATAAGAGCGTACCCAAGTAAATGGCTGATGCCATTATTGAACAGAAATCTAGGATCATACAGCTGGGGAGACAAGAACTGTATTTGGGTAAACACAAATAGTTTGTGTAGGGATGGCAAAGTTGACTGGGGTCAATACAAAAGAGATCCAATCAGGTAAGGCAGTGTAAAACACATGGATGTTTAGAACTGTTTAGACCATTTTGTATTCATAGATCACAGCCTTTAAAGTGATGGTGTCACACTAACTATTATGAAGGTGTATTTATGGTCTTCTGAAAGTGAATTTCCTGTTTGTCCTGTCCAGTTCCTTTATTGCTACTCTGTATTAACACCTACTTGAACTCCAAATTTGCTAGTTAGCTGACAATCCTCATATGAATATCGCTGTTAAAAAAACCCTGCCAATAGTAATGACAAAATGGTATTTGGGGCACTTTAACGTATTAAAGTTGCAAATGGGTATGAAATTCTCAGCATATTGCTTAGAATAATACATAGTAAATTCTGTCATTTTAATGGGAACTAGTGTGTGTGGTGAGCTGAGCATCATAAATGTGATGATTACCTGGTAGTTTTTATATCAGTATATTTTTTCAGTAGTCCAGCAAGGCATTAAAGTTAGGCATCTTAAAGTATGGACTAAAGTAATCCAAGAAAAGGGCTTAAAGGTAAGCTTATGCTTAAAGACTTTGTTAGACTAGAGCCTAAAAAGATAATAACTTTATAGTATAATGGTATAATACAATATTAGAGTCAGTTAAATTACGTTACCTCTACAGAGTGACAGAATTCCAGGAGACTTTCACTATCAGTAAATATGTATATACATATACATATATATTGGGGACCCCTACAGAAGCATTTTAGTTAATGAACCTCTCTCATCCAGTTCAGTGAAGTACAAATAGAGATAGTGGGTTGATTGCAGTGAAGCTCTCCGTGTAGTAG